ATAGGTCGAACGATGTTCATCTCTCGCAAGCAGGCCACCTCACAAGAAGTTCTGCGAGGGATGATTCCATCGGAGGATCCTAAGGCGTTGCGGGCCTCAGAGTGCAGTGAGCTGCTCGACCCTATGAGAGCGAGCTGCGGGACCTCCGCCCAGCACTCGCCAGATCCGCGTCGTGTCTGCGCGGCGGCGGCCCCAGCGCGGGCCCAGCGCAGCCGGGGGTGAGTCAGAGCGCCGGACCCTGCAGGATCCGGAAGAGCAAGGGTCCGGGTGTCGCTAGAAGTGCCCCCGGCCCAGGGTGCCCCCAGGCTTCTCGGGGTGGCCCAGACGGCCTCCAGGGCACCCCTCACGAGGCCCAGAGGGCCAGAGGGGCTCAAACATGTTGCGACAAACTGGGGACACCTTGAGCCAGGGGCACTTCTAGCAGCACCCGAAGGGTCGCCTTGACCCAGGCTTGGGCGCAGGATCCTGCAGGAGCTTGCACAATCCTGCAAGGCCTGACTGGCCAGGTTCTCGATCGACCCGGGTCAGTAGATCCCCGAAGTTGCGTTATCGGAAAGCCGCAATCATTCCGGGTTGAACGATCCACACGGCGTCAGATGCCAGCGCGCAAACCATCGTGTCACGAACTCGCCGTATCCGTGACAGGCTTGGGCTTACAGACATCTGTTGGCGCCTTATTCGCTTGGAACTCGAAGCTCTGGTTCGTTGCCGCTACAGCCTTGGAGGACCATCTCAACGGCTGCTGGAGGGGCAAGGCTGCCCCGCTTTTTATCAAATAGGCTGTGTGTAGTTATGGACGCTTCGCGCTTCTCTGCCAACCCATCCAGAAGCGAGGCTAAGGCGAGCGAGCTGCCTTGATCATGGGCGCGTAGGGTCAAGCACAGGAGAAAAGAGGGGGGGCAGCCGTGAAAGCGAAGCTCGGGATTCGCCTGAAGAGACCCAGGAGTCAATCGCAAATGTTCCCGCGCATCTTGCGATATAGGAACTTCTTGGAATCACGATTGGGCAGTGTGCGGGGCCCGTTGAAGTTGGGGCCGTCCTGGAAGCCTTCGGGGCCAACCCTTGTGCCCAGGCGCCCCCTCTCATCGCCCTCGTTTCGGCAGGCTTCACTGACTCCTCTCATCGCCCTAACGCTGCAGATCGGTGCGTTCGAGGACTCTTGCGGGGTTCGGGTCGGGCGAGGGGGAAGGGGCAGGGAGAGAGGGGGCGGTACGCAACCTGCTGCGTGCAGCTGGCCTCGGCCTCGGCCCCGCCGCCGGGCGCTGTCCTCGATGCGCTGGCGCCGGCAGGCGCCGGGGAAAAACTGGCACGTGAGTTGATTCGCTGACCCCGCCTTTACCAGCACCCCTCGCAGGCTATTGTTCTCCCCCAGTCCCCGAGTTCTGCCGGAAAAGTTTGGCCGCTCAGAAAAGGCGGGGAATCTTGGGATACACCCCGAGGGGGCTTTTCGGACGTACCCCTATCGAGGATGAACGCCCCCCCTCGTATATCCCAGGGTTGGGCCCCAAATTTTTTATCCTCTCGAAAACCTCACGAAACCTGGGATAGGGGTCGGCGCATCCCCTGTTACCCCCTCCTTTCACCGAGCGCGTTCCACTACTTGCAAAGTGCCCTACTCGCAGACGTCAAAAAAACACACGTCTGCTCTGACGTCATGTATGGTAGGTCCCCCGCGGGGGATCCAGGCCATTTCCGAGTAGCTATTTTGCGAGTGGTGGAACGCCTTCGTCTACCCTTTTTTCCTTGCCCGATCCGCTCGTATACCCAAATGTCGATCATCATGAAATGGCCGGATCGCATCCAGTCGGACCGCGCTTTGCTCTGCGTCGACTTCGAAGGCACCGACAGGAAAGGGGCTCCAGCGGGCGACATTGCAGGGTTTTGTCAACCATTGTTTGTGGTTACTTCTGGCGAGGAGGAGGAAGAGAAGCGAAGAGAAGGAGAGAGCGAAGAAGAGAGAGAGAGAGAGGAGGAGGACGTCGCCCGATGAGAAGTGCCGAGCCTGCCAGTGTGGCGCTGTGGTAAAGCTCGGGGACAGGCCGAGCGCAGGAGCGCCCGCGCTCCTCCGCTCGGGCCCCACGTGGGCATGGCGCCGTGGCGCAAAGCAGCGGAGTTCATGCACATTCCCTGCCCCTCGTCCTCGCCACATGTGTCCCCCCTGGCAGCACTTTCGACGCAAGGCAGGGCGGCGTAAATGCTGTTGCAGCTGGCCTTGTGAGCACTGGTCTCCCACCTTACGAGGGCCCCCCCCCCCCCTTCGGAAGCAGCAGACGGCGCTGCGGTTCGGGACGGGTCCGCCAGCCGAGTCGGTCCGACCCACCCCTCTCCCCCTCCTCCCTCTCATTCTCTTCCTCGCGTTCGTCGTCCTCCCGTGCATCAGCACACGCGCGAGGAGACGAAGTGGTGGCCGAGCTGCCTTTGTCGTCGACGCACGCGGCCGCAGAGGCCCCGCTCTGCGTTGCAGGACGGCGAGGAGTCTGTAGAGGGGGGATGCGGAGGAGGAGGAGGAGGACGACGAAAAAGGCGATGAGGAGGGGGAGGAGGCACTGAGGAGGGCGTTGAGAGGTTTTCAAGTGTCTTCGGGCGTTCTCAGAAGTGCCAAGACGTGGTGGGGGCTTCCCCTCCTCCTCCATCCTCCACTTCCTCTTCATGCCCCTTCTCTTCCTCCGCCTCCTCCGCCGTCTCTCCACCTCGTCCTTCGGGGCGGCAATGTTATTTTTGGGGCCAGGCGCCCTCGCAGCCACGGCTGGTTGCGCCACACGCGTCTGGCCAGTGCGCGACTTGGGACACGTCTGGGGGGAGCGTCTGTGGTGGAGGAGGAGGTGGTGGAGGACAAGGAGAAGGCGCCTTCACACACGGCGCGGAGCCTTCGTCTGCCTGTGCGCACACACGGGGCAGAAAAGCGATGGAGTTGGCGAAATTGGGCTCGTGCTCTCGTCCGGGATTAATCGAATGGTCAGCAGGGAGGGGTGTTCCACACATCCAGTATCCACTCGCCATGTGCGCATGTTGTGTCTGGTCATCGTGCCTTGAAGATGCATGTGTCTGGTCCATTTGGGCGAACGAGTGCGTCCCTCATTGGCGCAAGTCAAGCTCCCCACTTGATGCGATGCTTACCTGTGGTTGCGATGCGTCTTATTCGACCCAGGCAGAGGAGGACTCTAGCAAGACTGAGGGCGCTGCGGTGCAGGAGAAGCAGGCGGAGTCTGGATACAGCGACTTGTTGGCGCTCGAAGGAAGCTCTCACAAGGTCAACCTTTCTTCTTCATCTTTCCCTGTATGCTTCCATGCCCAGATTGTCGAACTGAGGAAAACAGCATCAAGTCAACGCGGCGAACATTGGGAGCATGGTACGGGCTGAAGTTCAGCACGCAGTGTTGTAACGTATGCGGGTATTGAGGGTTGCACATCAGAGGCTGAGTGTATGTTCAAGCGCAGCGGGCGGTTCTGGCCTTGCGGCTTCTTGAAATCCGGAGCCCCGCGACATGTCTCGCCCAAGGCAGATTTGTTTTGCCGGGCATAACCGTGAGTCTGATCTTTGTTATGCAGATCTTAGTCGCCCGACGTTTCCATCTTGCTCATGGTCCCTGTTGTTTACCATCCGGGCGGAGCCTCCTCCGCCTCCCCCTCCTCGCGTTCCTCGTCACTCTCATCCTCTTCCTCTTGGGCGGCCAGGACAAAACAGCGTACTTGTTCTGGCCCTCAAGTTTGCGTTCAGTCACAGCTTCTGTGAGCGTACCATCCAGCCGTCCATCCTGATTATCTTCTTCCTCCTCCTCCCTGCATGGCACGACGCGGCACGCGGACCAAGGACCCACGAGCTTGCACGGCACGGCACGGTACGGCGCACAACCACGGAGCCACCAGGCGATGTTCGGCCCCTCCTGTTGGAGTGTAAGGTGCCAACTTGAGCACTCTTGGGGGACGGCACAACAAGACCGCGCGTTTTCCCGTCTGGCTAACCAACAAGTTGTTTTTCCTCCAGGTCGGTGGGAACTGGACGAACCCAAAACTTGGCCCCCCTCAGCAAGAAATACTGGAGGAGCACGTCGGCGTTCTTCTCCCCCCTGGGCGTGAGGTGTCCCGCCGACGGCTGCCCGAGTCGGCCGCCAGAGTAAGCTAGCTCCGAACTCAGATACAACCAACACCTCCCCTTCATCCCTCTCACCGACGACTACTCGATCTGAAAGAGAAAGGTCGGCATGACCACCAATGTTCGAAGGCCTTCGCGGATTTCTTGGATCTGCGCCCTCGTGCGCTCCGCGCGCCAGGGGGGAAGTGTCCATCGCCGATCCAAGAAAGCCGCGCGGACCTCCGACAGCTGATGATTTTGCCGACGTGCGTTTTTCTACCATCTTCCATCGAGCCGACAGCGAATGATGCATTCCATAACACTACCCATGCGGAACAGCCGCCGTTAGCAGCTCCGAGACTCCGAGAGCGCACGTGGCGTACTGCCTGGATCAAGTGCGCCTCTCTTTCTCTCTCTCTCTCGCGGTTTCTGTCGAGCCCCTTGTCCCCCTCTTCGTGTTGTCGTCCTCTTATGTCCATTGGTTTTTCTTTCAAGTATGGTGTTCCAGAAAGGGTATTGCCTTCGGCGCGTCTCGACTTCGGCGGAAGCTTGCGTGGGCAAGATGGCGGTGGGTCTGCCGAGAGAGGGCCGTGGAAGGTCGGCGGAAGGCGGCGGAAGCAGAAGCAGCATGCCCACATGTTTGGTATCGGCGTCTCTGGGCTCGGCCAGGTCGGTTGTGCCATTCCGCCGACCCCAGAAGGGGGCGAGGAGTCAATGGAAGTCGCTGGGCTGCTGAGGGGGGCGCTTCCGTGATTCGCTCCGGCGTTCTCATCGAGGTTCAGCCCCATACCCGTTTCGACCCTCCCCCTCTCCGTGCCGTCAGTCGGTAGCAAATCTTGGGAGCCTCATGTGCCCTCTTAATTCGGTTTCTAGCGTCGATTCGCGTCTGGTACTAGATGAGAGAGCGCCGATTCAGCGTCGATTTAGCTTCGATTAGCGTCGACGAGGGCCGATCAGGCTCCAGTCACAAGAGCCAACCAGACGGTATGGGAGGCTCGCGTGAGTTGCCACCGAACTGTGTCGTCTTCCTCTCGGGCCATCCGAGCTTGCCCAAGCCAGCTCAAGCACACGACGCACGCGGCGCGCGGCAGCAGAAGCCCGGCGCGCGCGGGCGCCCCCGGCCGCGCCGCCGGCCGCGTGCAGCTTGGGTGGTGAGGAGTTGGGGGCAAGCCAGACTGGGCCAGGGCTCCTCCTCCATTCCTTCTCCTCATAGATTATTCCTCCCTGTCGCACCCCGAGGCCAGATTTTAGGGCGGGCCAGGCGTTTCGCCTGAGACGCCCTCACCACCTATGACCCTGAAGCTTAACAAGTGACAACAGTTTCACAGATGGAGGGCGGTTGGTTTTCAAAATGTGGCTCTCGCCGTGGCGCCGCGCACATTCGTTTTAAACATTTGCAACAACTTCACGGATTGAGGGCGGGTGGTTTTCAAAATGTGCCTCTCGCTTTAGCGCCGCGCACATTCGTTTCAAACATTTGCAAGAGTTTCGCGGATTGAGGGCGGGTGCTTTTCAAAATGCGCCTCTCGCCTCAGCGCCGCGCACATTGGTCTTCAACATTTGCAATCACGGATTGAGGGCGGGTGGTTTTCAAAATGTGGCTCTCGTTTCAGCGCCGCGCGCATTCTTTTTCCAAAGTGTGCAAGAGTTTCACGGGTTCCCATGATCAGCGTGCCAGAAGTAGTGTTTTGGAGGATTCAGGATTATGCAGGTGCAACAGTTACACGTTAATTCGCGGTGTTGACGTCCCACAAATGGCGCTCTGGCACGATTCCGGATCGTCAAGACGCAGCAGTCAAGTTGATACGTGGCGTTGAAACTCCGAGGACAATGTTGTGGCACATTTGAGGATCTTCAAACAGTTGTCTTCTAACGAGGCAGTTCCCTCAATGGAAATGAACTGTTGTGGGGGCCTATGAAAAGGAAGCTTGGAGGGAGGGTTAATTCCAACATCGTTGATGACTCTTGGTTTCACATTGGTCCTCCTCCTCCTCCTGCTCCTCGTCCTCCTTCTCCTCCTCATGCCCCCCGTCCCCTACAAGAAGCCGACTCTGCCCTGCGACTGGTCACCCCGGCCTCCCCCCGCCCATCCCCGCCCCCGCCATCCTCAGTATCGTGTAACGTGCAGCCAAGGCGCTGAAATAAGGAACGTTTTGGGTTCGGAAGAGGCTCGCTGTGCCTTAGGTCCGTTCGCGGCTGCTCCTCTAGCCCTCCTCGTGCACCCAGGCGCTTTTTTGGGGGGCCTAAGAAAGACTTCGTTCCTTATGTAGCGTTCCTTCTTGTAGCAGCCCGAAGGTATGGCAGCCAGCGAGGGGGGCAATTGAAAAGGAGAAGGCCTTCTCAGAAGGCGGCGGGGCTTCTCAGAGGCCCTCGCGCCTTGTGACAAGTTTCCTGTGTCTTTGGGGAAGGCTCACCAAAAGCCTTTCAAAAGGCTGGAGGACTTCCGAGCCTTCTGAGAGGGCCCGCCCCTTCTCATTTCCCCCCAGGCTCGCCGCCGATCAGTAGTATCGTGTCACCGATCCCCATCCCCATCCCCATCCAGAGCTCCACCATCCCATCAACCCTGTTGGGGATGTTTCCCTCGAAACCCGAATGGAACAACCTATATCCCCATCTAGGGGGTAAATCTGCCAGTGTGGCCTAGTCCACGCCGTTGGAACAGGGATCGGATACACGATGCCCAGATGAAGAGATACCGATACAACCACCCGTCCTCCATCGCTACGGCTGGATACGCCAGTCGAGCAAGAAAACACGGCATCAACATAGATGTTCTGAGCTTCGCGCTGTTTTCTTGGATCGGCGCCTGGGCCTCCCTGGCGGCGCCTCTGGCGCCGATCCAATAAAGCCGCGCGGAGCTCCAACAGTTTATGTAAACTCAGTTGTCTTGCTCCTTCGGCCAGGGCTCAGAGGGGGAGAAGATACCGTTTCAACTACCCGTCCTTCGTCGCCACGGCTGGTTGCGCCTCGAAATCCTGGTCAGAACGCAGCCGTTGAGAGGCTTGCGGAGCTGCGTTGCCCGTGCCTTTCTGCTCCCCAAGGGGATGGGGGCCAGCATGCTGAGAAGACGAGGGGCTCCTGGGAAGGGAGCTGCCTCCTTGAAGATCCCAGACCTCCAGCTCGATTTTTTCCAGCCGCTGGCCCATTCCTCGGGGCTGGCGTTCCGTCCCGCGTCTGTGTTGATTGTTTCAGGGGCCCAGAGACGGACCTCGGATTCAGCAAGTGGAGCAGTGCGATCATGGCCCGAGTCGCCACCGGTCTGGCTCGGAGGGGCACCCATCACCGGGGGGCTGGATATGCACAGCCGGCGCGGCCCGCCCGGGCGAGAGCCAGACGTGCGTGGGGGGCCGGGTGCCTGGCCAGCGCTGTGGCCGGGCGCGCCGGGCCTCTGCGTGCTCCTCCAGCACACGCGGCCCCCGTGCACTCCGCGTGCGAGTCCAGCGGTGGGCGCTTCCGGCCCCTCGGTGGAAGGCTGCCCCCCGCTGCTCTCGGGTGTCGTCGCGCGTGCCTCCCAGGAGGGGATGGCCTCGGGCGGCGGCCGGCGGCCCCCGAGATGAGGATCCTGCAGGGCCAGGAGCCCGCCGGCATCGGAGTTGCGGCGCACCGTGTGGAGGGGGCCTGACGCGGTCGGGGAAGGCCGAGAAGACGGCGTGTTCGCGCCGCGTCGGCGTGGCGGCGACTCGTCGACACCAGGTTTCTGGCCATTTTTAAGGCGTTGGGGCGGGCCCATCAGGGCCACTGCTGGGCGCAGATCGAGCAAACATATCAGGGTGGCGTCCGGGAGCTCTGGGGACTGTTCTGGAACGAAACTGCCCTGGGCAGGTCCTCGGCCCTCGGCAGGTTCGCAACGCGGCGGTGACGCTGGCGTAGGCGCTGGAGCAGGTTTCAGGCCCACTGGCGGCCTGAACTTTGAAGGCCAACCTTGAACGACCCCTGCCGTCAGGCAGCGTGGATGGCTCAAGATGGAACGAGGGACGCGGCGCTGGTCTGAAGCCGAAGTCCACGTCGACCCGACAGGAACCAGCCGTGCCCTGAAGCACCGCGGGACGCCCAGGGAATATGCTTTGGCGCACGTGATGGCTGGAACCGTGGCCCCTGCGGCGCCTCATTGGGGGTACGTCTTCCCGGGGAGACATTTGGACCCCTACAGCAGTGGTGGGGCGTCACCTTCCGTGGGTCTTCTTGGGCATCTTACTGGCGCATCTTGGGCTCATGTGGGCGCGTGTGTAGGGCCCCCCCCAGCGAACGAACACCAACTCCGACCCCCACTGGCGTCTGCTGAACCGCCCTGGGCACCTGCTGAGCCGTCCTGCCCTGTTCGATCGCCTTCGTCAGGTGCACTTCCGAATGAGCCTCGTTTTCTGGGGGTGCTGCTGGGGAGTGTGGTCCCTCCGCTATCTACGGGGCCCCCGCGCCCACCAGAAGAAGGGAGCACCGCATGAACCTGTCGTAGGTTTCATGCGGCGATGGCGCGCCAGCGACGCCGGCGAATGCGTTCCAGCTTGACTTACGCACGACGGAGCGGCGCGGACGCAGCACGGGACACGGCGACGCCACAGGACCCGAAAGGACGGGATGCAGCCTCGGCCGATCGGGGCCGCGATCGGCTCAACGCTGAACGATCGACGCGGCGTCGAGAGCCCCTGGGCGCGCCCGCGCCGCGCGAGCCTGCCGTAGAGCTCGGAGGTCCGCCCGGGTTTCTCGGGGGCGGGGCGCCCCCTCCCCGGGCGGCGCGCCGGCGCCGCCGCGGGCGGCGCCGTGGGCGCCGCCCGCGGCGGTGCGAGCGCCGACCCGAGAGCTCACCACCCACCAAACCACCCCAGCCCAACCCGAAGGTCTCGATGTGCCTTCCATGTCCAGTTGGGGGGGGGGGTCGGGGAACATCGAGACAACACGTGTGGAACCCGTCCCCCCCCCCCCCCCCAACCCGAGATTCGGGTCTTCGGGTTGGGTTGGGGTGGTCTGGTAGGTAGTCGAGAGCTGCCGCGCAGATCCCCCGTCGTTCATCGGATCGGCGGCGAGCCCGGAGGGGCGGGCCTCCTCAGAGGGCTCGGAGGGCCCCCCCGCGGCCGTCCGAGGAGTTGTTCGCCCCGAAGGCGCAGAGGGCTGTTCAGAAGGCCCTCAGAGCGCTTCTGAGGGATGGGGATGGGAAACGGTTGTATCGGTATCTCTTCATCTGGGCATCGTGTATCCGATCCCTGTTCCAACGGCGTGGACTAGGCCACACTGGCAGATTTACCCCCTAGATGGGGATATAGGTTGTTCCATTCGGGTTTCGAGGGAAACATCCCCAACAGGGTTGATGGGATGGTGGAGCTCTGGATGGGGATGGGGATGGGGATCGGTGACACGATACTACTGATCGGCGGCGAGCCTGGGGGGAAATGAGAAGGGGCGGGCCTTCTCAGAAGGCTCGGAAGTCCTCTGGCCTCTGGAGAAGTTGATTGGTGAGGCTTCCCCAAGGACACAGAGAACTTCTCACAAGGCGCGAGGGCCTCTGAGAAGCCCCGCCGCCTTCTGAGACGGCCTTCTCCCTCTCACTTTCGTCACCTGTGCTCGCCGTCAAGGAGAGCCTCGCCCTCTGCCGCCAGCTCCCCCTCCGACTGTTCGCATAGCCACGCTTGCTTGGCAGGTCGGCTGGTTTCCCCCACGGTCGGCGACATTGGCTGGCAGCTCGGCCGAACGGCTCGATGTCTACTCTTGTCATCGGCAATTGGTTTGGGCTGTTTGCTGGCTGGCTGGTTGCGCGCACCTGCAATGATTCATCTGGGATGGTGGCCCCGGGAGCGCGCTTCCATGGTGAATTGCCCGCTTGACATGAGCGGGATCTGCAAGCAGGTCACAGCGCGGCTCCGCCCGCGCGCTCGCCGCCGCCGCGGTGCGCTCAGCCGAAAAGGTCGAAGACCACGTCCTCGTCCTCCTCCTCCTCCACGGCCGCGGCCTTTGGTGAATTGCCAGGGTGCGAGGCTTCGGGGGCGCACACCCCTAGCGAACTGCGAGGACTCGCGGCCTCGAGCCCGCCCAAGCCGAGCTCTCTGGAGGCAAAGGGGCGGGAAGCGCCCCCCCGAACTCGTGTCCCAACACGGCGAAAGACACTTGGTTCTGTTCCGCACGGGGCTGCGCTGTTGGGCGGCGGAGGAGGAGGAGGAGGAGGAGGAGGAGGAGGAGGAGGGAGGAGGAGGGAGGAGGAGGAGGGAGGAGGAGGAGGAGGAGGAGGAGGAGGAGGAGGATGAGGAGGAGGAGGAGGAGGAGGAGGAGGAGGAGGGGGCTGTGGCTTCGGAGACGCACGCTTCTCGTAGCCCACACGGGTTGTGGCCTCGACCGCGCGAACCTGTTGCAATTTCAAAGGATTGTGGCTTGGGGAGCGCGAGCACCGCATCATGTGCGAGGAGCTGTGGTTTGGGGAGTGCCAGCATGAATGGCCATCCGCAGGGGGGTTGTGGTTTCGGAGCGCAAGCTTAGCACACGTTGCTTTGGTAGGGATCGTGGCCTCAGGGGGCGGAACATATTGTAATGTATCTCGGAAGTTGGCTTGGGGAGCGCGAGCCTGGCGTAATATACGAGGGATTGTGGCCTCGGGGGGCACTAGTCTGGTGTGATGGTTTGTGGCGTCGTGGGCGCGAATCAGTCATAGTTCGATGCCCGCCAGCCCACTCGGAACCTGCCCACGAGAGTTGACGGTAAAAAGGGACGAAGAAACACACGTATCGAAGCAAAGCGGGCGACCAGGGTGAGCAGAGAGATCTCCGGGAGCAAGGGAGTGGCTTTGCAGGGCCTCTTCGGGCTATCCCTGGGGTCGGCGTGGGGACGAGGGAAAGGGGAAGCGGAGCAGGAGGAGGAGGACGACGACGACCACGACGACGAGGAAGAGGAGGGAAAAGGAAAATAAGCATGTGACGATGAGGGCACGGAGGACGAGGACGAGGACGAGGAGGACAACGAGAACGAGGACAGGGCCCTCAAACTGGCCTTTCTGGAGCTCTCTTGGGACTCTTTTAGGGGGATCTGTGGGTCTTGGGCCTCTTTCGGGGGGTTTGGGGGCCCTCTTGGAGCCCTCTTGGCGGTCCCTTGGGGCCGTCTGGGGGGGGCCTCTTGGGCCCCTCTTGGGCCTCTCTTGGGCCATCTGGGGGCCATCTAGAGGCCTCAAGAGCGCATCGCAGGCAAAACGGCGAGACGGCATAACTCATTGACTGTCCTTAGCTTTTGAATGGATTTTGTTGGCTTCTTGGGGGGTCCTGAGGGGGCTGCGAGAGCATTTGGAACCGTCTTGTGGCCCTCGTCGGGCCTCTTGAATGTATGTCGGAAGCTATCTTGAGCCATCGTCGGCCAATTATCTGAAACCATCTTGGAGGCCATCTTGGAGCGTCGGAGGCCCTCTTGGAGCCATATTGGGCCATCCAAGGCGCCCTGACACTCCGCGGCACCCCCCAAACATCCTCAGGGAGCGGGGGGGAGGTCAACCTCCCAGACTCGCTGGACCATCTTGGCCCAAAGGGCTGGTGGGACTTACAAGGTGTTGCAGCTTGGGGAGGGTGGATCTGGCGTAATGGACTAAGGATTGGTGCATGGGAGCGCGAATCCAGGGCAACTTGCAAGCGATTGTTGCCCTGTGGACGAGAACCTGGGATTATTTATGATGGGCTGAGGCTTGGGGAGCACAAGTATGTTGTATCTTGCATATCTTAGGGCACTCCAAGGAAATCCTGATAACCCCATTCTGACGTGGTTAGCGGGCCTTTTCAGCCCCCCTCCTCGCTCGGACTTCAATCACTACAGCAATGAAATTATAGATGGAATCTGTTTATTCTATTTTGTGAACTCGAACGGGCGCAGTGATCAGTACAGCCTAGCCCCCGCAGCCTGTTGCCCCCCAAGGATGCCGGCGGACATGTTTGTCCAGCTTGATATTAGTCTGGAGGCGCCCAACCGCGCACCCCCCAGATCACTCACAGAGACCTCCTATAGGGAGGGGCCTGGAGATACGGACTCCATATCCCCACGCCCTCTACCACAGCCTTTTTTGGACCGGGCATGCCTGCCTAAGCCTGCCTGAGCGTGGTTCCCGCGGCGCCCTTCCGGTTTCAGGACTCCCCTCCGCTGCGGCGGTGGCCCTAGCCCGGCCTTCATAGCTGACGGATTTTGGTGGAATCACATCACCATGTCGGGAACCACGGCTGATGTCGCTTACCAAGGGGGCCACATGCAAACCCTACCCCTGCCCCCACGGTTTCTGAGGGGGAGGGTGGGGTTCACTTCGTTCGGGAGCTCCCGAGGGAAGTGAACCCCACCCTCCCCCCCAGAAATCGTGGGGTGTAGGGGTAGGGTTCGCATGTGGTCCCATATTACCGTGACCCGCGCAGTTGCGCCCGGCAGGAGGACACGGCCGACGCTGGGCCCCGCCCCGGCGCCCGGCCAGGTGCGATGCCGCTATCAAAGTTGCCCTCGCACGCAGCGTTCAACCTGCGGCAGTTCAGCATGGGCCGGCAGAGGCCAGAACGAGCCGCCTGCACACCCTCGGGTGTTGCTAGAGTTGGTCCTGGCCCAAGGAGCCCCCAGCTTGTCGCGCCCTTTTGGTGCCCCACTGGGCCCTCTGGGCCTCGAGGTGGAACTCTTGGGGACACCTTGGACCAGCGACACCTCTGGCAACGCCCGACACCTGCACCGATCCTGGCTGGACCGATCTTGGGGAGGAGGAGGAGGAGGAGGAGGAGGAGGAGGAGGAGGAGGAGGAGGAGGAGGAGGGAGGAGGAGGAGGAGGAGGAGGAGGAGGAGGAGGAGGAGGAGGAGGAGGAGGAGGAGAGGAGGAGGAGGAGGAGGAGGAGGAGGAGGAGGAGGAGGAGGAGAGGAGGAGGAGGAGGAGGAGGAGGAGGAGGAGGAGGAGAGGAGGAGAGGAGGGAGGAGGAGGAGGAGGAGTCGGAGGAGGAGGAGGAGGAGGAGGAGGAGGAGGAGGAGGAGGAGGAGGAGGAGAAGGAGAAGAGAAGGAGGAGGAGGAGGAGGAGGAGGAGGAGGAGGAGGAGGAGGAGGAGGAGGAGGAGGAGGAGGAGGAGGAGGAGGAGGAGGGGGAGGAGGAGGAGGAGGAGGAGGAGGAGGAGGAGGAGGAGGAGGAGGAGGAGGAGGAGGAGGAGGAGGAGGGAGGAGGAGGAGGAGGAAGGAGGAGGAGGAGGAGGAGGAGGAGGAGGAGAGGAGGAGGAGGAGGGGAGGAGGAGGAGGCGCCGAGGACCGCGCACCGATCCCCCTGGGCCCGGCATGGTCCTGGCCAGGGCCGGTGCAGGCGTGCAGCCCGCGCCCTGCCGCAGAGGCTGGGCATGCAGCGCGCCCTGAGCCAGCCGCTCTGTTCCAGCTCCTCCGTGGGCACGCTGAAGGAGCGCGAGCGTCAGAGGCGCCAGGCGGCACACCTCGAGGCCCGGACGAGGAGACGAAACAGGTGAAAGAAGATTGTCATATATATATATATATATATCATATTATATATATATGATATATATAATGGTATATATATATATATACAAATATGAGCATGAAACCTCGGAGGTCCGCGCGGCTTTCTCGGATCGGCGCTGGACACCCTGGCGCGCGCAGCGCGCCAGGGGCGGCGCCGGAGGCGCCGCCAGGGGGGTCCAGCGCGGATCCGAGGAATCCGCGCGGAGAGTCAAACAGTGGCGAAGCGTCCTGGCTCGCCTATAGGCCCACCAGAGATTGCCCTCAGAACCTTTTGTGGTCTGCTCGAACTGTTCTTACAACATTTCGGGCTGAGACTGTCTTGTTTTAACGCATCATGCCTATGCTATAAGAACATTGTTTTGTTATTAGCTCATCTTTGTTTGGGTTCTAAGCTGACTTCGTGGTAGGCCTACAGGACGGTCGGTCCCTGCTCAAAACAGGCGCAGGCGTTAAACTCTGGGAGGTCCGCGCTGAGTCCTTGGGTCGGCGCTGGGGCCCCCTCGGCGCCTCTGGCGCCGCACACGGCGAGCATTCACGAATGCGTCGGCGGCCCTCAGCTCGATTTGAGAGCAGGATTCTGTATAGACATATAAGTGATCGTTCTTGTAATACTCCCAGGGGTAGCGCGTGTTCCCCCCCCCCACAGACCCTCCCCTGCAACGGTAGCGCGCGCAAGCGGGGCACAAGCGTGAATCGTTGCAGCTTCCAAAAGACAGTGTAAGGAGTACACGTGCGCTCCTGCGCACGCAGGTATCGACGTGCACGCAGGGCCACTGCACTGCGGTGTACACGGGCGCTGTGGTGCACGCAGGCACTGTGGCGTACACGTACGCTGCGGTGCACATGGCTACCGTTTTGTGCACAGGCGTTGCGGTGCACGCAGCTGCTGTGGTGTAGACAGGCGTTGTGGTGTACGCAGCGTACGCAAGCGTTGCGGTGCAGCGGAATGAGATCAGAGGAGGAGAGGCACGACGATGAGGAGAAGGAGGCGGAGGGCGGAGGGGGAACAGGAGGTGGGAAAGGGGGAGGGAACCAGAGAATAGCATATTCGCAGCCTGGTGGCCCCACTGCGGGGGGGGGGTGCTGCGGGCTCTCGTTGTCGTCCGTTGTTTCTTCTGGCCGCAGAGAGTTCGCTGGCGCAGACAAGGCGCGGCGACGGCCCCAGCACGGTCGTTCCAGGTTGCGACGCGCCTGGATAGAAATCATGATTCAATCTTGGGCCGAGAGCTTCCAGTTGTGCAGACCGTTCCAGACTGAACGATCCACGCGGTGATAGAAGCCAACTTCCGAGGCGTCACGGCACGGACCTACCGTACAGCCGACGCCCCACCTCCGCCAACCTTCCCCCCCACTTCCCGCCTTTCTGTTACTTCCTCTCCCGCGTGCTCCTATCTCCCCCCCCGCCTCTCGACACCTCTTCCCGAAGGATTGCAAAAAAACGCTTGGACGAAGGATTGCAAAAAACCTTGGTTGTTTTTGCAATCCTGTTTTTTTTTTGGCAATCCTTTTTTGCAATATTTCTGTTACTTCCTCTCCCACGTGCTCCTATCTCCCCCCCCGCCTCTCGACACCTCTTCCCACGTCCCCCCGAGTTTTCCCACCTCCTCCCACGCCCTCCCGAGTCCTGCCACCCTTCACATCCTCCCACCTCCTCCCACCTCCCCCCTCCAGAGTCCACTCGAGCCCTCCTACCTCATTCGTCGTCCTCCCGAGTCTTCCTGCCTCATCCTGTTTTCTCCCACCTCCTTCCACCTCTCCCCACCCCCTCCGCTTCCTCCCATCCTCCCCCTTCATCCCACCCCCTCCCACGTCCTCCCGGATCCTCCCACCCCTTCCCACGCCAGTGCTTCTGCTTCCCTCATCTCAGGGTCTTGCCCCTCCTCCTTTGTCTGTCCCCTCCTCGCTCCTCTCCTCCACGTTCCCGCTGGCACGTTTGGCGTTGTGGTGTACACACAAGCGTTGTGGTGCACGGAGGCTTTGTGGTGTGCACAGGCGCTATGGTACATATGGTGGCTGTGGTGTACCCAGGGTTGCAGTGGTGTGCACAGATGCTGTGGTGTACACAAGCATCCTGGTGCAACAGGCACCGCGGTGTACACAGGCGCTGTTGCGCACGCGGCTGCTGTGCGCATAGGCACTGTGGTGTACACAGGCGATGTGATGCTGTGGTGCGCGCGGCAGCTGTAGTGAACGGAGGCACGGCGTTGTGTTGCACGCTGGCGCCTGGCATTCTCGTGTACACAGGAACTGGCACGCAGGCGTTGGGCATTGGGCATTGTGCACTGTCGTGTGCACAGGGTCAGTGGTGCACACAGGCGACTGACGTGCTGGTCGCTCGGACTCACTCTGGCGGGTGCACGTCGCGGCCGCCGCTACCGTCCGTTACCTCGCCGCCCGCGCCCCTCCCAGGGTAACACGCGTTACCCCTCAATGCGGAGGGCCGTGCGGAGGTCCGTTACCATCAACGATCTCTAAACGTTCGGAGGTCCGTGCGGATATCTTGGGCCGGGGCTGGTGGGCGGACCCTCCCTGGCGCGCGGAGCGCGCCAGTGGTGGCGCTTGAGGCGTCGCCAGGGGGCCTCCAGCGCCGATCCAAGAGACCCGCGCGAGCCTCCGAAAGTCTGTGCTCACGTACTCCAGATTTCGTGATAAAAGGGAGGGGATCTGATTTCGGGGGGGGTCTCTTCAAGGCTATCTTGGAGGGCCTGGGGGGGTCTGGGGACGATGTTTTGGAGGGTTCGCCCACGAGGGGGGTCTGAAATGGCTTGTCTTGGAGGCTCCAGACCCCCTCCCTTTTATTACGAAATCTGGAGTAGCTGCGCATTCTCTGCAGAGGCCTGGCGCCAGCGCGAGGAGGACGAGCGGGGCCTCGAGGAGGCGGCGCGCCAGGAGGCGCAGAGGGCCGCGGACCGCGAGCGCCAGCGCCTGCAGAGCGCGCGGAGGGAGCTCACCACCCACCAAACCACCCCAACCCAACCCGAAGGCTCAGATTTACCCTCGATTTCCAGGGGGGGGGTCGTGAAACGTCGAAAAAACACGTGTGGAACCCTTACCCCCCCCAACCCGAAATTCGGGTCTTCGGGTTGGGTTGGGGTGGTCTGGTAGGTAGTCAGGAGCTGGAGGAGCAGGCCAGGCACAAGGCCTTCACGGCCGCCATGCGCCGCAAGGAGGAGCGCGAGGAGACGGGGGGGGGTCCGGAGGGCGCCGGCGCCTGCAGCAGGGGTCGGGGCAACCCCTGCGGAAGTGGGGGGGGGGCCTCCGCAGCTCGGGAAGGGAAGAGAGGCACAGGCACAAGGGAAGCAAGGGAGGAGGAAGCTCCCCGACCCCCCATCACCTGGCCTTCCCCCTGGAGATCAGCTCTTCCTGGATGGAGTCGTTGTCCGGCATCCGTGTCACAGCAGCTATCTTGGATCGTTGGTCACAGAGTTCTCCCATTCCGCGCATGGAGGGCGCCTAAACACGGCCCCGAACGGATCAGGTCTATCCAGGGTCATTCGGATCTGGCGGTCCGAGAGCGGGCTGTGGACACGGGGTTCGCAGAATCAGCTGAGTGCAATGGGACTCAGCTCCTCCCCCCCGCCTTCCCTCGACGCACAATCGCGCCCCGCGCCGCGAGGCGCCGGGACAGCCATCCACTTGAGGCTGTCGTGGCCCCAGGAGCCAGGATACTGCATACGAGCACTTCGCCAGACCACGATTTGCTTCCATATCCAGTGTGTCTTGGACTTCTTTCACCAGGGGCGCCAAAAGGTCAAGGCGCAGTGGACATGAAACAACATATGGCCTCTAGGGGCTAAATTTCTATCCATATCCACTGCGCCTCGGGTTTGTTGAGACGAGAATCCGATACTCCTAGACGCAATGGCTATGCGTACAAATCTTGCCCACGCGACCTAGCGGGAGAAACCGAAGAACGGAGAACGCCTCGGCCCACGTCTCAAGCGTTCTCCGGTGTGCCAGCGCCTTGGTCCGTCAGCATCCCCGCCAGCGGGGCCCCGAAGCTTGCTCGCGACATCCCGCGCCTCCTTTTGGATGCATATGGTCGTCTCCTCGCATACCTCGAGGGGCGCCCGGAGACCCGGCAGCACGTGGCTGCCTCGCCAAGCCTCCTCTGCGGGTGCTGCCCCGGGAGCCCAGGTGGCCCCAGCTTCTCCAGGCAGGCCCAGGCAGTCTCTCCACGAGCGCCCCCTCCATGACGAGGCCCAGAGGCCCCGAGGGCTCCAAGATGATGCGACAAGCCGGGAACGCTCTGGGCCAGAAGCACACGTCCAGACCCGCGCCGAGCCAGTCGGCTTGAGGCAACCTCCCCAGAGATCCAACGCATTGAGCAAAAACACCACGAGGGTTTTTCGTTGTTTTTGTCCTCTAGGGGCCCTCACCGGGCCTCGGGACCGTCAAAACACGACTCAGGATGAAAACCGCTCCTGGGGAATGGGTCGAGACTTCCGGGGACCCCGCATTGAACAAATCACGACATCGGATCTCTGGGTCTGCGCGCGTGCGAGCCAGCCGGCTTGACCCGTTGGCCCAAGCCATCCTGCGTGCGCGCGCGCCCCCTCTGCCAGCCAGGAGGGCCCTCTCGGCTCTGCGATGAGCCTCCGCTGGTGCAGGGCGAGCTGCGGGGAGTGCGGCCTTCCCGTCTGGACCGAGGGCCCCAGGGCCACCCTGGCGGCCGCGGCGGCGCCCCCCCCCGCCAGGCTCCCGGCCTGGCCGGCGCCGCCCCCGCCGCCTCCGAAGCGGTCCCGCCCGGGCCAGGCCGGCCCCGCGGGCCAGCGCGCCCGGCCCCAGGGAGCCGCCGCGCGGGCGACGTGCCGCAGGTGCCGGCTGGGGCTCGCTCCGCCCGAGCCCTGGGGCCTCCCGCTCTCGCGGCTCGAGGTGCACAGCCTGCAGTCCAGGGAGCTGACGCCCGAGGACTACGAGATGCTGCTGCGCCTGGACGAGGCCGTGGAGCCGAGGGGGGAGCCGACGCTCGACGCTGCGCAGTGCGACGCCTGCCTGGTGCCCGTCGCCCCGGCGGCCAGCGGGCCCGCGGGGGGAGAGCCGCGACCCTGCAGCGAGGGCTCCTGTGCCATCTGCCTCGACGAGCTCGGGGGCGACGAGGTCTGCCGCCTGGCCCGCTGCGGCCACGCGTTCCACGGGCCGTGCATCCGCCAGTGGCTCACCAGCAACCGGGGCACGTGCCCCCTGGACGGCCGGAGCGTGCTCGGGGAGCCCGCCCCGGCGGCCCCCGGCCCCGCGCGGGAGGGCGCTGCCGAGCCGTCGCCGCAGGGGCACAGCGCGGGCGCCGCCGCCGCCTGGCGCCGGAGGCCGTCCGTGGGCACCTGGCTCCACGTCGAGGGCTGCTCTCGGCTGGCAGGGTCGCCGCGGTGGTGAGCGCCGCCCGAACCGCTCGGGGGCGGAAAAGAGGGGGGTGATGACTAGGGGGGGGTGGATATCATGGCGTGGGCCATGAAATTTCCCCAGATTTCATGGCGCCTCTTCTTATTTCATTACGTCCCTGGGCACCCCCGCTGGGCCGCGCACATGCCGCCGGTCATGATGTGCACCCCCCCCTCTTGGACCCCCCCCTCTTGGCCGCTCCCGAGCCGCCGCCCTGCACCTGCGGCCAGCCGTGGGCACGTGGCTCCGCGTCCGGGCCTGCTCACGAGGGCGGGGTCGCCCCGGGCGGTGGGCGCCGCTGCATCGGGGGGCGCTGCGGCCGCGCCGGAGGCTTTTTCTTTCTTGCACGTCTCCAGCTGCCTCCAGCAGTTCCGCCACCGTGCCAGCGCAGCGCTCTCGGTGGCGGCTGCTCGAGAGGGCCGGAGGGCTTGCTGGGGCCCTCTTGGGGCAGAAGGCTCGGGCTCTTGGTTCGTGTTTCCCCCCCCCTCTGGGATCCCTCTTGGGGCGTTCGTGGGGCCCTCTTGTTGAGCCGTCTTGGAAACCTCTTGGGCCGTCTTGGAGCCCTCCTGGGCCGCCTTGGAGCTCTCACGAGGGCCTCTCGAACCGTCTCGGCGGGAGTCTTGGGGGCCTCTTCAGCCGTCTTGGAGCGTCGGAAGCTTGAAAAGGCGAGAGCCGACCAGACATTGAAAACGCTAAGGAGCATCAACTGTTTCTTTGTCCTCGGGGCCGTCTTGGGCTCTCGGGGGCCTCTTGGGAGCCTACGTTGGTCCTCTTGGGGCTTCCAGAGCCCTCTTGGGGCAGAAGGCTCGAATTGTCGCTTCGTTTTTACCCTCTTGGGCCCTTCTCCAGGCCGTCTTGCGGCCCTCTTGGGCATTCTTGGGCGCCTCTGGGGCCGTATCGGAGCCCTCTGGGAGCGTCTTCGGGCCATCTTCAGGGCCGTCTTGGGGCAGCTTGGGACGTCCGAAGCTTGAAAAGGCGAGGATCAGAAGACATTGAGAAACAATTGGGAATCAATGATTTGTGTCCCCGTAGGGCGTAGGGGCCCTCTTTGTAAGGCTCATGGGGCTCCCTTGGGACGCCTGGACGGCCTCGTGGGCGGTCATGATTGCGTCATATATATATATATATACACGTATATATTCACACACATATATATATAGAAATAAGTAAATTAAACAAACGCCCCCTGGGCGTTTTTGTTGTTGCTGCTGTTGGTGCCTTTAGCATTAGTGATTTAACTATTGATCTTATCAGTCCGACTCTTATGGTTACCCTTTTTATGACCTCTGCCACCATCAGCCTCACCATCATCATTACAATTGTCACTATCATTTGTTATTGTCATCGTTATTCCAATTAGTGTTGTTATTCGTATGTGTATGTTTCGCCTCATCAGAATGTAGACTTAGCATCATTATCATCAATTGTTGTTTTGGTTTACACCGTTCGGCAGTTTGGGCTCTTGACGAGCTAAAAAGGCAAAACAAGCGCGACGGTGTTTTCGCATGTTTTGGCTCCGTTGTTTTAGCGTGCTTGGGCCCATCGCTGTGGATAATCGTGATTGTCGTTGTTTTGTGCTTTCTGGTCGAAAGTTGTTCCTTGTCTTCCCTGTTGTCTTTGCTTCCGCGTCTTCGTTTCTGCCACCGTTTTCTCTCTCAGAGCTAAAAACGCCAAGCAAAAGGCCCCAACACCAGTCAAACACCGGCCTGGAACAGGCCTGGAGGCCCGATGGCCCCAGGAGGGGTCATCTGCCATCGGGCCCGCCAGACTGCACGCCACGAGAAGGACTGCACGCCAAGAAAAGGAACTACCGACGTCGTCGACGGCAATGGTAACAGTGCAGCCAACTGATCTGAACACGCTCGCTGAAACAAGCGTAGCTGAAAAGGCAAAGCATGAATAGTTTGTTGGGCGTTTTTAGTTTTCTTGTTGGGAATTTGAATGAACAAACTGATTTGCAACATTCCAAACGTGGAAAGGCAAAAACGTCCTGGGCATAGCTAAGAAGAACCAAGCAGTCATGAAGCAAGTTTAGGCCGTTTTGAAGCCAACGTGGCCCGCTTTGGAGCGATATGGGGCAGTCTTAGGGGCGTCTGGGCCTGGGGAACGTGAATTTGTTGTACTTTGCGAGGGAATGTGGCCTCGGGAAGAGGTGGTGGTGCACGCAGCTGGTTGCGTCGAGGGGGGGGGGCTTAAGAGAATACCAGGAACCCAGCCAGACAGACCTTGGCGTTCTTCCACGTCCCGACGTGCGCAAAGCACGGTGGCGGGTTTCTGCGCGGGCCAGGTCTCCACTAGCTGAAGGAGGGGGGCTTGGGCGTGGGAAAGTCGGAACTGACATGGATGGTAGGCGGGCGATCTACAACAGATAGCCACGCACCTGTACAGGAGTTGGCCGACGGCATCGCGCGAGCGCGTGCCCGGGGCCCGCAGACGTCGCCTTCTGCGTCCGAGACGGAGACCGGCCGGCTCATGCAGACAAGCTTTGGCCAGGCTCCGAGGCCGACGCAGGCTTCATTCTCCCCCCCCCCCCGTCCCCTCCTTCCGTTAAGCTCAGTGGATCCCTTCGCCTTGCGTCTGCCGCGACCTCCCGTCACGTTGTCCTGGGTGACTCTTGTACAGCAGGGCCTCCGCACCGCCGCGCCGACGCTGACCGAGTCGGGGCGAGCAAAGTCAAAAGCAGGCAAACCCAAGAATCCCAAAAGCCAGGCTTGCACGTAGGATTAAGTCGGGCTCGTCCCTTCACAGGGGGAATCTTCGAAAAACGGGAAAATAATCCTGGGACAATTGTTTGCTGATTTTTGTTTTTTTCTTTGTTGAAATATTGTTTGACTTCTTTTTGTTTTTCGCCAGAATCCCCCCGTAGGGGGACACGCGCGAGCAAAAACCAAAGCAAGCGAACCCAAAAAACATCCCCGAGCCGAGCTTGCCCCCAGGAGTTCTCACTGACGTGCCTCCTCAGGAGCCCAGCCCGGGCGTCGGTCCGGCCAGCTCGTCGCCGCCCGCCGCCGCCCGTCCCCGCCGCCCGCTTGGGCCCCGGGTGTCGGTCTGGTCGGCTCGTCGCCGCCCGGCGCCGCCGCCCGCTTGCGCTGCTTGGCAGTCTGTTGCGTTCTTTTGCGCGCACCACGTGTGTTGCACTGTGGGCCCATATTCCACCACCGCTACCACATGTAGGAGAGGGAGGAGGAGGAGGAGGAGGAGGAGGAGGAGGAGGAGGAGGAGGAGAGGAGGAGGAGGAGGAGGAAGGGGAGGAGGAAGGATGGAAGGAGAGGAGGAGGAGGAGGAGGAGGAGGAGGAGGAGGAGGAGGAGAGGAGGAGGAGGAGGAGGAGGAGGAGGAGGAGGAGGAGGAGGGGAGGAGGAGGAGGAGGAGGAGGAGGAGGAGGAGGAGGAGGAGGAGGAGGAGGAGGAGGAGGAGGAGGAGGAGGAGGAGGAGGAGGAGGAGGAGGAGGAGGAGGAGGAGGAGGAGGCGGAGGAGGAGGAGGGAGGAAGGAGGAGGAGGAGGAGGAGGGGAGGAGGAGGAGGAGGAGGAGGGGGAGGAGGAGGAGGAGGAGGAGGAGGAGGAAGGGAGGAGGAGGAGGAAGAGGAGGAGGAGGGATGGAGGAGAAGGAGGAGGAGGAGGAGGAGGAGGAGGAGGAGGAGGACCTCCTCATCCTCCCTTCTCCTCCGTTCTACATATGGTAGCGGTGGTGGAAGATTTGCCCAACAATGCGCCACATGGATTGCACCTCCTAGATTGAACCACATCGACTGCACCACCCAGGCTGCACCGCATAGGCTGTAAGATCTCCTTGTTTTTGGCCCACGCTGGCCAACGTATTGCAAGACGCGTCTCAATGCGACCGGTAAGATTGGATATCGATTCCGGCTGGTCCGGTCCCAGTATATTTACGATCTTTAGAACGTCCGATGTGGCCCGACGTTTGCATGGCGTTGTTACGCATGTTTGCGCAGCAGACCGAACTCGATGTCTATTCCGTGCTGGTGCAGCCCAATGCGACGCACATTCCCACTCGATCCGATCTCCGGATTCGAGCTTGATTGATCTTGCTTCGAGCCAGGAACATGTTTGCCTTGCCCTCACGCTTTCTCTGTTAACCCCCCCTTTGCGTCCACAGCTGGCTTCGGCCAGCCTCGTTCAGAGCGGAGGTGTCGCCGTTTTGTTTGACTCGCCTCTCTCGTCGTCTTCGGCGTCGTCTTCGCTTCCCTCTTGTTCCGCTGGAGCTCCAGTCGCATCCGCCTCAGACGGGGCGGCTCGCCCGCCCTGCTGCATTACAGGGCCGTCCTTCTTCGCCTCGCCTCGCACACTTCGCGCCGACCGGAGGCGCCAGAGAAGTCAGCTACGCAGGCTGACGTAGCAACCTGGAGGAACAAGCAACTGCATAAACATGAATCTCCAAGGAACCAGACGGATTTCTCGGATCGGCGCTGGTCCCCCTCCTTGGCGCTCGAAGCGCGCCAGAGGCAGCGCCGCAGGCGCCGCCAGGAGAGGTCCGGCGCAATTCCAAGAAAGCCGCGTGGCCTCCGACAGTTTATGTTTATCTCGTGTTTGGTTTCTCTATAGCCCGGCTTTGCCTTCGACAGTTGCATTCTGCTACGCCGAGTGTTCTCTGTCCGTTCCGCGGCTGCTTCCTCCTCACGTATTGCCCTTCTTCGGCTTCCGCCGTACTTCTTTACAGACGCGTCCCGTTGCTAGCCCGACCGCGCGATGGATCCAGCTCGAAACAGACCGAGCTTGGTTCCTCCCCAGCCGCACCCCTTTGCTAGCCCCACCTTTCCCGCGAGGAGCAGGAGCGCCAGGCTCGCGAGCTCGAGAGGCAGACGCGGGAGGCCCTCGAGCAGCAGAGGCTCCGGCAAGAGGAAGAGGAGAGGCAGCGGAGGGCGCCCAAGGTCTGCGAAGGAGAGGAGGAGGAGGAGGGGGAGGAGGAGGAGGCGGAGGAGGAGGAGGCGGCGGAGGAGGAGGAGGAGCAAGGAGGAAGAGAAGAGAGGCGGAGGGGAAGATGAGACATGGGGATGAGAAAGGAGGAGGCGGAGGACGAGGAGAAGGCGGAGGAGAGGGAGGAGAACCGAGGATGAACAGAGATGGTGGGGGTGAGGCAGCGTGAATGAAGAAGAAGAAGGAGGAGGAGGAGGAGGAGGAGGAGGAGGAGGAGAAGGACCAGTGTACACCCAAGACTCGCCAAATATGTTGAAATACACCAAGATCCCTACTCATGGGCCCCATACAAGGGGTCATTTCTACTGAGGGAGTCGCCCCGTTTGGGGACAACCGTGTGAACATCTTGAAGCGCACCAAAACACCATTCCCAGGGCTTCAACGCCACGAGTTAGCCTGATTCTTACGCCTTGGCGATCCTGAGTCGTGCCTGGGACTCCAACAAGGTGAATCACCGCAAGTGTTGCGCCCTTACAATCCTGCATCGCCCCGAAGCACCATTCACCATTTTCAGTAAGTTAGCCATGATAACCAATGAAACGTTTGTGCACATTTAAGCCGGATGCGCGCTGTGCTAAGACAAGAGCCACATTTTGAAAAGGAGCCGCCCTGAATCCATGGAGTTTTTGCAAATGTTTAGATCGAATTCGCGCGGCGCGAAGGCGAGAGCCACAATTTGAAAACGAGCCGCCCACAATCCGTGAAACCAAGTGTGCGCGGCGCTGAGGCGAGAGCCACATTTTGAAAAGAAACCGCTATTCATTCGTAAAGAACTTGCACATGCTTGGAACGAACGTGCGCAGCGCTAGGGCGAAAGCCACATTTTGACAACGACCAGGCCCCAATCCCTGAAACTATTGCAAATGTTTACGACGAATGTGCGCGGTGGTAGGGCGATAGCCACTTTTTGAAAGAAAACGCCCTCAATCCGTGCAGTTCTCGTACATGTTTAAAACGAGTGTGCGCGGCGCTGGGGCGAGAGCCACATTTTGAAAACGATCCGGCCTCAATCCGTGTATGTCATGCACGTGTTTACAACAAATGTGTACGGCGCTTAGCTGAAGCCACATTTTGAAGACCAACCGGCCTCAATCTGAACAGCTCTTCCACATGTTTAGAAGGAATGTTCGCGCTGCTAAAGCGAGAGCTACATTTTGAATCCGACCCGCCCTCAATCCGTGAAGCCCCTTGCTTTGGTTTGAGATCGCGAGAGCCACATTTCGAAAACCGCCCGTCCTCCATCTGTGAAGCTGTTATTGAATTCAAGCATCAGGGTCATTAGTGATGCGGAAGTATCAAGCGAATCGCCCAGCCCGCCCTTTCGGCCAGTCTCGGGGTGCGACAGGAAGGATCCATGTAGAAGGAAAGGGAATGGAGGAGGAGCACGGAGAGGAGGAGAAGGAGGAGGAGGAAGAAATGGGAGTGGGAGTGGAGGGGGTCAGGTCGTCTGGACGGGTTCGAACAGCTTTGGAGCGTTATGGGCGACTCTAGGGCGCTTCAGGGGCTCATCCCTGTCGCCCCCCTTGCTCCTGGAGGAGGAGGAGACTACGGTCAGGAACTTTGGCTCAGCGTTCTGCTCCGCTGGCTCTGTCCCGCCACGCTTCGGCGCGACACGCTATTCACGGCACGGTCCCCGGGCGTCAACGTCCCGAGATTTTCCCAGCCTCCCGCCCCGCGGAGCTGATCGACACGCGATCCGCTTGCAAGTGGCGTGTCGCCGGGGCCGCCGCCGCGACACGCTAAGCAAAAGTTCCTGAGAGTAGCTCTGACGATTTCCCCCCATGCTGGAAGCCGAGCTGCGAGAGCACGGCATGCGTTGTGCAGCCCGAGATGCTGTGCAGAAGCACGCCATACGCAAGCGCGACAAGCACAACGTGCGCAGTCACCGCAGGATGAGAAGACAGAGGAGGGGAGGGGCCCTCAGTCTTCCCCGTAGTGTTGTCGTGTCCTTCTCCTTCCCCTCCTCCAGGTCGATCTTATATTTAGGTTCCTGTTCCTCCCACTCCCTCCGCGAGGGCCGCTGGAGGGGCCTCGATGGCATCTGGAGCCAATCCTGACATCGTCACCATCCTGAGCCCTGCTGAGTGTCAGGGGAAGAAAAATAGGAGGAGGAGTTCCTTCGGACATGGGGATTGGGAGGAGGAGGAGAGGGGGAAGGAGGATGAGGAGGAGAGGGAGGCGGAACACGGAGGAGGAGGAGCAGGAGGAGGAGGAGGAGGAGGAGGAAAGACGAGAAAGGCGGGAGAAACGATGATGATGATGATGATGATGATGATGATGATGATGATGATGATGATGATGATGATGATGATGATGATGATGATGATGATGATGATGATGATGATGATGATGATGATGATGATGATGATGATGATGATGATGATGATGATGATGATGATGATGATGACGACGACGACGACGACGATGATGATGATGATGATGATGATGATGATGATGATGATGATGAGGAGGAGGAGGAGGAGGAGGAGGAGGAGGATGCAATGATGACGATGATGACGATGACGATGATGATGCTAATTATGATGATGATGCTGATGATGATGTGACGAGGATGAGGAGGTGGAGGAGGGGGAGGACGAGTCGCGTGCCCAAACGATGCGAGCGGCAGCCAGCGCGTTGCCCCGCCCGCAGGAGGGCGCCCGCTTGCCCGAGCCAGAACAGCGACCTGCACACTTAACCCCCATCCACTGCGTCCATTATTAGTTGCCCATGTCTTTCAGGTGTCGGGACCACCGTTGCTTCCACAACGGCATCCACCACGGAGCTCTCGTGGCACTGACGCGAGCGACGACAGGCAGCAACTCGCACGCTCCTCGGGGTTGTAGCCGCACGAGGTCTTCTTGAAGCTCGCCACAGCGCGCAACAGCCACCGCGACATCCACCACGAGCTCCCGCAATGGCGGCAACATTGGGATCAACCGCAAGCTGGCCATCGAACACATCACCGCCATGCGGACCAACCCAGATACCCACCCCGAGCCGCACTCCAAGCGGGGGGCCAACAACGCGCCCAACCGAACCCACGACAGGCGCAGGTCTATCATGGTGGGGGGGTCACACATGGGCCGCGCAGTGGGCAGCCCAGGGCCCCGACACGTACTGGAACAAGGGGCCCGGCAAGAAAACGAAGAGCGCCAACGGCAATGGCAACGGCAGCTTCCCAAAGCCTTGCGGCGAGTCCGTCGTGGACGCCAACCTGCCGCTGAAGGGCAAGAAGCAAGAACAATGAGACCAATTGCAATAACAAGTAACCACCACCCCCAAGAGGAGGACACCTTGGCCAATAAGAACCAGAATGAATCCAACCATGTGCAAACTCTACGCCCCCAGAAGGTACGATCGGGAGGCCCCACCCAACGACCCAAAACTCAAAGAGGAGTGGAAGAAAACAAAGGCAGCTGAACAACCGCGAGCAGCAACCGCAAGCGTGATGGCCAGCGCCGCTGGCCTTGCCACTACAGGCGCAGGAGCACAGATCTTCAAAACGATGCTCATCATCAGCAGCATGCCATTCCACCAGCAGGCCATGGATATCGACCGCAATCAGCATATTACGAAGGACCGTTACGATCACACCAAAACGCAACAAAAAGAACTCGACAACTACCTGGTCGCACCGGGAACCAATATTCACGATCTCAACATTATGCATTGGGGCTTCTCTTCCGCACGGGATGATGCATGCAGTGAATTCATCGCGGCAGGCGATGAGGCGGAGGTCACGCAAAGAGGTGGTGCCCAGAGGGGGGCTCTAAAACCCTCACCAAAAGGGCAAACCAGAGCCGTGGAGACCGACGGCGGCCAAGACGTCGGATCGCCAATTTCTCGCCCCATACGTAAAGAATTTGCGTGGCGAAAGGCCCGACCATCTGCAGTTGTGAAAATCGTTTTCGATGGAGCCCCCTTATGGGGCTACGAAGCGTGTGGTGCATGTGCCGAGATGGGCGCGGTGAGCTCATGCGAACGCGTGTGAGGGGTGTTCCGACATGGGCGCGGTAGCGCCATGCGAGCTCAGACGATGCGGCCTTCGGAGGAGCTCCCTATGGGGTCACGAAGCGTGTGAGGGGTGTGCCAACATGGGCGCAGATGTGCCATCCGAACGCAGCCATTGGGGCCTTCCGTGGAGCCCCCATATGGTGCCACGAAACGCGTGGTGGGGTGGGTGTGCCGAAATGGGCGCACTCGTGCCGTCCGAATGCAGCCATTGGGGCCTTCCGTGGAGCCCCCATATGGTGCTACGAAACGCGTGGTGGGGTGGGTGCGCCGAAATGCAGTGGTGCCATCCGAATGCAGCCATTGGGGCCTTCGGTGGAGCTCCTTATGGGGTCACGAATCGTGTGAGAGGTGCGTCGGTATGGGTGCGGTTGTGCCATGCGCGGGCAGCCAGTGGGGCCCTCGGTGGAGCTCATTTTGGTGCCACGTAGCGGCGGCGCCGCGCGAGAGCAGCCGCTGGGCCCACGTGCAGCTCCCTGTCAGGCCGCGAAGCGTGTGAAGGGGCGTGCCGAAGGGGCGCGGTGGCGCCGTCCGAACGCAGCCGCTCGGGCCATGTGACGGGCCCCAGCACGGGGTCACGCAGCGCGCGGCGGGGAGTGCCGACGCGGGCGCGGCGGCGCCGTGCGAGCGCAGCCGCCAGGGCTTTCGTGGGAGCAATGGGGCCGCGAAGCGTGTGAGGGGCGCGCCGAACTGGGCGCGGCGGTGCCGCGCGAGCGCTGGCGCGGAGGGCAGAGGCACGGATGGGGGGAATGAGGATGCGGGAGGAAGGGGTCGGGAGAACGCGGGGGGCTGTTTCCTAAAAACGAGGACCCAACGCCGCAGGGTGGAAGGGGCGCTGACTGCGCCAGGCAGGCCAAGGACGACTTCGACAAAACCCTACCACAGCAGCGTGGAGGGCGAGAAGGAGAGAGAAATCCGCGACGGAACTGCCAGGGCCACA